AGATCACCCCAGTGTCCTAAGGATCTGCAAAAGTCTATAATTGCTAAATAATTTCTATAATTAAAGGAGGAAAAGTCTAGAAACTATGAGTGGCACTTGAAGAAAATGAAAACTTTTTAGCTAAGATTTAAACAAATTAAACTTTACCTTATCTGCTCTGGGTTCTCGTTTTCCAAATTATTTTCTATAATTCTAAAGTGAGGTCCATGATTCACTTAGACATTTTATACTGTTAGATGGAGAGGTGGTCACTGAAAATTATGCACAGGTTTTGATACATATTTTAATAAAGTCAATACTACAAATAAAAATCACATAACTGATCAAGGCAAAGAATATGTAGTTTGTGAGAGGGAATCATATTATTAAAGTTACAGACCCTTTTTTTTTTTTTTTTTTAGTTTGAAATATGAGACTAAATTAACAGGTAAAAAATAGGAATAAGAGTTTAAACTCGGCTTCACCACGCTGCATATAAAAGATGAAAAGACTGTATCATTCATTTTGAGATACCCGAACAGCTCTACTTCATCATATTATGGTTACCTAGACAAGTCCTCTTATTAACAGTGGTATAAAGCTATATACATCCACAGAGGGCATGACTATCTTATACTCAGACACGCACACCTACAAATAAATAATTATCAGATATATATAATGGGCCAGGCGCTACACATTGTCTTCTCATTTAATCTTCATACTAACCTAGCGAGGTTGATATTATAATAATCCCCATTTTGAAGAGAAGCAAAGTGAAGTTTAGAGAGGTTAAATAGTTTGCCTGCAAACCTTGCTCTGTCCAATTGTTGAACCAAAAAGCTAGGTGTGAATTTTAATCTACTAATAGGAAGTAAAGGCTTGGAAACAGTTTACTGCCATCCGGACGACTTATATGCTTCATGTAAACTTAATTTGGAGCATGACCCAAGTCCCTAAACCACACCTCCACTGCCCACTGGTCTCCCCACTGCCCCTATGCTTGGTCAAATTTGGTTTTCTGACAGCGTCTCTAGTTCTTTGTTCATTTCTCCATTGGAAATAAAACCAGCCCAGCTGGATGAAGGCAAGTCTAGTCTCGTCAGGCCCTGCGTTTTGGATGGACCCTCTCCGTCTTTAACTTGGATACCCATCTGACATGTACTGCCAGGACCTACTGTATTTGCAAACCAAACTCTACCCCCTGGAGTCTAATCTTTCCATGAGCAATCTGAATTAGAATACTTCTTGAATTTGGCAATTCAACGTTTAATTATGTTTGCAGGGGGCCATGCCTGGCTAGTACCCCTCCTTGGAGGTCCGTACTGGGCAAGAGTCTCAGTTGGCTGCCCACTTTCTCTGCTCAGCCTGATTACACTATTAAAGAAAACACTGCTGTAAAATATTAAATATTAATGGATTATAGTGTAATTATTTGAGATTGTAAATAAATTCACAAATGTATTCTAATACAGATACTATAATTGTATACATTTTCCTAGTTTTTAATATATTTCTTAAGTGATATGCAATATTTTTGTCATTCTTCTGGAGTAAGAGTACACTGGTAGAAAAAGAAAAAAAGAGAAAAGGAAGGGTACACTGGATCCACACTCATAGCGAGCAATCAGTAATTGTGTGTGTGTATAATTCATAACCAAACAGACTGTAAATTAAACTGAAAGTATATCATTTTAAATATATATAGTGGTATACATAAACATATATATAATGATTTAATGTCCGTTTGCTTTAACTTACAGTCCATTTGGTTATGAATTAAAATTACTGTGGCTATAGGTATAAGATTTGGCTAGTATCAACATAACAATTATTATTTTAGAAGGATAAAATCAGGCAGAGTTGACAGCATATGAAAAAATGATCACTTTTTATAAAACTAGGCAATTTGTATTTTGGCCCCAGCTCAGTTACTAAGTAGTTTTATAACAGTGACCAAGTACCAACCTTTCTAAAGGCCAATTTTCTCATGTGTTAAATATACTCTTTATATTAACTGATCTGTAAGGTTCTACCACTCAAAAACTCTGGTCTAATCCTAGCTAATGTTGAACACCTAACAATAAAAACATCTGCTCATTAACTGAGCTGAGAGAAGTTATCACCCACATATTTAAAGTTGTCCTCAAGAATGACTTTCATTTCATGGCTTAAAAGTATTAGTCATAATAACAAGCCAAACGTTTATTTCCTCCAAAGATCTAAATCTCTCTTACTAAAGTTACAGTGCAGTTTTCTTGGATGTTTAAAATAATTTGTTGATATTGGTTAGTAAGCATAATGTATCTAGACTCACAGAATGAATCTAAGAAGACATAGATTTCACTGCTTTAAAAATTCAACATCACAGCAGGCCAGTATATGAGGAAAAAGAATGGATGCAGGGCTTCCCTGGTGGCGCAGTGGTTGGGGGTCCGCCTGCCGATGCAGGGTACACGGGTTCGTGCCCCGGTCCAGGAAGATCCCACATACCGCGGAGCAGCTGGGCCTTGTGAGCCATGGCCGCTGAACCTGCGCGTCCGGAGCCTGTGCTCCGCAGCGGGAGAGGCCACAACAATGAGAGGCCCGCGTACCACAAAAAAAAAAAAAAAAAAAAAAAAGAATGGACGCAAAGTGAGGCGAAGAAGGATTCTAAGCGTGTCTGTCTACACGTGCTTGTCTGTGTTCAGAGGAAGAACAATTTGAGGCACAGTCACCTGAACTACTCTGACTGAAAAAACAATTCTGCAAACACAGTTCTTACTCTGGTTCTGAAACACTGAATTCCCGTTCCTTCAACACCTAGAATGCTTTCAGAAGGGAAGCAGATGCTAAAAACTACTACCATGAGAACAGTGGAAATGTAAATAGACAAGAGTAAAAACAAAGTGTGTGTGTGTGGGGGGGAGAGTGGTTGAGTGTCCTTTATTCATTTGACTAACAAATATTTATTGATCAGATACTAGGTGCCAGGTACAGTGTCAAGCACTATGGCTATTTCGGTAAATAAAGAACACAGCTTTTGTCTGTAAAAAACAATCAAATAAAGAACACAGCTTTTGTCTGTAAAGAACAATCTCCCACTCCATCAAAAAGAAGAAGTACAACCACCACCCCAAGAAAAGAAAACATAAACATAAATTTCCTCTACTTGGTAGTTCCTCCATCATCTTCCCATTCTGAGTTGTTTATATATTAAATATACACATTCCATGTACTTCTTTTGTAAGGGTGAAAGATAACAGGATTTTCAAAATTTGTAAGATAATTACAAAATTAAAAACTAAAATTTTAACTAGAAAGAGTTCAGAACATCTTTTATGCTGGAAAAGAAAATATTCTGATTCTTAGTTCTATGGTTTATTTTTTCCTCTACATTTTCTCAATCCACATTTTTTCAAAAAAAAACTTCCCACAAAACTAAGTAGGTAAGAGTACAACACTAATAATTTTGATGGCTGATATTCAACTGAAAACATTTAATAGTCTTAATTTTGTCACTGAGTTTAAAAGTTCTTAAAAACATCTCTTTTCCTTAATAGATAACACGACCTCAAATAGTTAATTTTAATCAATGTTTTATGTCAGAAAACCGTATTTTGTTAACTTCACAAATGCTTATAATCATCAAAGTAGTCTAGATAACCATTTAGAAATTTAGCTAATTTTATGTTTTTCATCTTTACAATGAAAATAGTGATATTCATTCCTTATTTCTCAAGATTACTGGTAAAATTAAAGAACTTGTTGAATAAAAAAACAAACAAAAACAAACAGCAACAACAAAAGAAAACAAATGCTTAAAAATGTTTCTCCATTCACACATTTTTCTACAAAAGTGCCTGGGAATAGCCGAGACCAATATCCATGGCCTCTGATTACACCAATCTTCCGTATCAGAATGTTTTTACAATGTATAATTAGCATATGCACAATTACTCACACATTTAAATGGGAGTGAAATGTAATCTAAAAAATGTAAAGCTATATACTGATTTTAAGAACGTAAAAGGAAACAATGGAAAGCAACTTTAATTCCTTCAGTGAACTATTTTGCTTGCTCTCTCTCCTCAATCAAGTGCTCTGATTGAAATCGAAGGATCAGGACAGGGACAGAGGAGGCAAAGGGCACTTGCAGTTCACACAGGGCAGGAGACTTGGACAAGAGGAATTTCTCCTCTACCCTCACAGTACAGATTTTCACATAACCTGAAGAGTGCAGCTACGACAACATCTCAAGAGTGCCTGAAAATGGCAAGGGGTCAAACCCCAATCATAGGTGCTTCAATCATTTTGTGAAATATTAAAACGTTTATTCAATTCATATTAAGAAATCCCAAATTTTACACCGTAAGTCTCTATCCGAAGAACGTTCACAGAATTAATATAAAAAAAAAAAACTGGAAGAAACATTGCAATTTCCTTTCCCACAGCAGAATCAAACAGTACAATATTTATACAACAAAACTAGTGAAAGAATAAACTAAATACATTTCTTAATTTCTTTAATGTAGCTTAAGGTGGTATAGTGGCTACCTTTTTTTTTTTCTTTTTTTAATGAAAATCTCTTTCCTATTCTCTGCATCACGTTATGTAGGACCTTTAACAACATAACGTACTGGAAAATAATTAAAAATCATTTCCTAAACTAATTAGGTTCATAACCACCTCCCTGACTTCTCCCATTCATCTTGTGCTTAAAATTGTACATTACTAGCTTGAATTTCATCTCTGCCTGACACGTTTCAAGCAGTGAAACAGATTAGTGCCTCAGAACACTTTATAGTGTTTTGTTATCAATCAGGTTACGTTCCCAGCGATGCTTTCAGCAAAATGAGCTTATTCGAATGAACTCTCATGGTCTGAAGTAAATAAAGCTGTAACCCACTGCTCTTGCATACTTTCCATTCATTTACTTCTTTTTAAACTTAGACTTATAGCACTTGCCATAGAAAGAGCGCGTGTTAAATATTCCTGGAGTGTCACAATATGTAATACAATAAAACAGATTACAACCCTACCTTTCTTTCACAGCAGTGGTGCCAAGCACAGGTACACCGGAGCAATCAATTTGTTCTGCAGACAGTAAGGCTTTCACAGAATACTAATGGAAAATCTCTTTTCTTTCTCCTTTGCCTTGACTCCCCAATGCCCAGGTCCCGACCAATACAAGGAAGAGGGCGGTATGTCTTCTGCTGAGATAACCACAACTACTAATCAAGTCTACGTGTACAAGGGCACAGGATTAAACCTCCACCAAGCTTGAGTCAGAGTTTGAGAGCAGCTAAACACATGCACAGCACGGTCAAAATTAAACACACACACACATACACATGCACACACACACACTCATACACCGTGCACAAACCATGAAAATACAGATGTGTCTACTTCAGTGAACTAATTCATCACACTTTTACCACTGATAGTTTTTTACCTCAGGGGCATAAAATTATCTCCCGTAGAACTGAGGGCTTAGATTCAATGGTACCCAAAAACAATTATTTTTTTTTTCCAGAAAACAAGAATCATGAACAATATTTTTTGCATTAAACTGTTCACTGTTTTTAAAAGAAGGCATTTTTCTAAATTGGACTATCCAATACAGTTTACATGGACTTACTCTTTCAAGTATTAATATAGGGTTAATAGACTCAGCAAGGATTCTTAAGAGTTTGCACTTAAAAAAGGGTATTATAATAGCTCAAATCCACTTATCCAAGAAAAACATGTATATTACCAATAGTGAAAAGATATCTAAAAGATCTTCATTTATCTTTTAGTTTTTACATCAAATATAATCCCATGGTATTTAAAAAATATTTTCAGGTCTCAAAAAATTACTTAAAAAACATCTTTAGCATTTTATAATTATGACAGCATGGTGGTATTTATGATCTCATTAATGCAGAGTTTTGAGGTTCCTTTCAATTAAGCATTTTCACTTGGCTTACTTTTCTTTTATTCGAAATATGAAAAGGTATGCCAATCATTGAGTAGGGTGATGACAGAAGTTGTTAAATATTTTTTAACAATATAACAATGCCTCATTTTTATGTGCCTGCCTTAATTTTCAAGTAACTCTTGAAAAGTACCGATAGTCAAAGGACTGCAAACTAAACAATAATTAAGAACAAAACGCTCTGGATGACTGGAGAAAATTATGAGGAGGCTTTCTAAACCAGCTCTATTTTCATGTAAACAACTGCTTTAAACTGCTAAAATACATGTGTCTTATTCTGCCCTCTTCCTTTTTCTAAGAAAACAAAAAACAAAAAAAATCAGCAGAACAATTAAGAAATACTAAGCCTTCTATGAAGTATTGCAATAATGTTTAACCGAGACTGATGCATTTGTCCTTGACACACTGGCCATGTCATCAGGCTACTGTCATGTGATATCATGTCATTTCCCCACCTGGCTAGTGACCTTGTCCTCTAAATGACCTAAAGCTTCCCTCAAGTAGCAGGAGGCCCCTCCCCGCTGCCTCAGCAAGGTCGTATGGGTCAGCGTGTCCTCATCTATAATCCACCACCATTTGTCAGCAGGGAGGCTGGAGAAGGCAGCCTTGCTACAAGGGGAGAATGCCCAATTAGGCAGCTGTCACACAAAGCATAGGCTGCAAAATTATCCCCTGTCAAAAGAAAGAGCAGCTGCGGGTGCCAGTTACAGCAACCTTTCAACCCTTTAGGTACTGGAAACTACACAGAAGTAAATGAAGAACAATTAGCGATAACAAATCGATGAATTAGGACAGTAAATTAGAAATTACTAGCAGGTGAGCTTGGGTCATACATGACATAAGGGCATACCAGACTCCATGCAAGGGCAGGGATGCACAGAATCGCACTACCCATTTCCTTGCATGTCGATTTCCCCTCCAGCATTTTCTTCTGGCAAACCTAAAATCCTTTAAAATAGCCATAAGCTAAAAGTGTATATACCTTTTTACTTTTCATGGAGGACCCAAATACACTGCTTCTTGACAGGAGAAAATCTTCCAGAATATTAAATCTAGTCAATTCTAAACTGTTCTTCTAATACAATCCATCAGGCTATCCCCTGAAACTTAGTTATCTGTTGGCCACAAAGTCCAAAATATCAGTTCAAATAATCACACTTAAAATATCATATCCACCTTCCTGAAGTATGTGCCCTGGATCTACTCTGGTCACACGTACAGGGAAACATCTTCTTTAAGAAAGCAACAACCAAATTCTGAGAAAACGTATGTTAATATCATAATGTTGAAGTAAAGTTTCTCTACACGATGTGAGATGTGATTTTGTGTATAAAGGAATAACTGCAAGACGTGCTTCTATGTATGATACACACAGAAAAGTATCAACTATAAAATTACCTTCTCTGATTATTCTGCTCTAATCCTATAGAGGTGATATGCATTAAGTCTCAAGCTTAGAAAGCCAATTTACTTGGACTCTTTCCAACTAATGTCTGGTACTTAGCACTCACAGGTAACAAAGGGGGAACAAAATGGGGAAACAGGTCCCACAGAGGAGAGGGAGGCCCATATGGCTATTAAGTGTTTATGGACATGGTTTCACTGTGCCTCAAAAAAGTCACGTTATGTTCACAAACAACTTTCTTAAAGTCCATTTTAAACTAAAACTGCTTTTCTTCCCCCTTAGGAAGAACACGTGTGTCTTTTTACACCAGTTCTTTGAAAGTTGAGAAACCTGAACGATATGTGCTATATTTTCTAAAGGCTCAGGGCAAAGTGGTTTACTATAATTCCAAATCACAAATGTAAAAGTGAGGCAGAGAAGGTGAGGTGATAAAGAAGCATTTTATTCAACCCTCCCCAACACATTATAAATAAATCACAGTTGCCAGCAGAAAAAGTTTCTGATTCCTACTTCCTAAACCAAACCATTTGATAAAATTTCCAGGAGATAAATATTGTGGGGAGAAAACTTCTCCATTAAAAGTTTATCCAAGAATTTGATTTATAAATTATGTTTCACCCTGTTAAGAAATGGCCATTTATAAATTTTCTTAAGTTTAGAACGCAACCTTCTAAAAGTCAGACTAAGGAATTCAAAGTAATGGCATATAGACAGGAATGAAGGAGTTAATGCCTTTAGAATTCAGCTTTCATCATACACGGGTGACTATCTCTTTAAATAATTTAAATCCTCTCCATCAACTACAAAGCTGTTTTGAAGCCATTTAGCTTTGTTCTTTACATGTGTTCTAATTAAGAAATGACCTTGTCATCACACACACCAGAAATCCAGGATTATTTCCTACAGCAAAAATTCACAGAGCCCCCAGAAAAAGAAAAAGAGGGGGAAAAAAAAAAGACTTCTTCCTCAGTTCCTCACTAAAGGAAGTTGTTGGCTGGCCGAACGCTGAAGCAGTTTCACCGCATAATTTTTTGTTGTTGTTGAATGTCACAGGGCGGGTTAGTGTGACCTTGAGCTGCATCAGCAGCACAGCAAGGGTCGAGATGCCTGCAGGCGCCCTTGTACTGGATTTGCAAGACAAAAACCTTCAAACTGGCTGAAGGACATCTTAAATCTCTTCAAAGGTTTTCCGAACTAATCTGGGCTGCTCTTAGCAGGATCTGTGCCAGTGTGAGAAGCAAAATTAAAAACAAGGTCTTTGACAGGATGTTGTCTCCTCTTAACCCTTTCCCAAGCAAAACAGAACAAATCACAAGCATTCTGGAGACACAGTTTACCTAGAAGCATTCTTTCATAACAGATTATGTAAGCAAGCAATCACAACGGATGAGGCCGCTATTAGTCCTTAAAACTAAACCCTCCCATTGAATTCGGGTGGAATTTTTTTCTGGCTCATATTTTTGTGTAGTGAATGGAAGACGTAAAAGATTCTATCCGTTATCTTTCAGATTTGCAGCAAGTGATAGGTTAACATTAAGAGAGTATATTTCCATCAACATTAATGTCTTGCATTTTTTTTAAAAGGATAAGCTTTTAGCTGGTTAAGTCATAAACGTCATGCATGTTGCATACAGCTTACTAAAATTAAAACAGGGAAAAAAATTACGTGATATGCTTACTAAATTCCTTACTCCTAGCATGATGAATACACTGGTAAGAGGGGGGAAAAATCAGAATAGTGAAAGTGAACACACGTAAAACAAGATAAGGCAATCTCAGTCTTATTATAAGCAATCAGCAGGACACTTTTTTATTGTAATGTTACAGTATTTCCAATGCAGGCCAAAAGAGAGGGCATTAATACCAGCAGAGGGTGTGAGTCTTCCCTGCAATACCCTTAAAGTTTAATTTAGTAGCTACAGCTCTCAAGAAATAATCTAGGGGAACAAACAGCTATAATATTTAAAATGCAATAACTTAAAATCAGTGTATCTCCACCTTATGATATGTTAGTTTCTCATCATCAGATATAAGACATGTCATAATTAGTTGTAAAGAGTATTTAGTGTAAGGTGTACCATGTATTAAGGTCCAAAAGATTGCAAATTATACCCATTTAAAAAAATAGACTGAGTTCAAGATTATGCTGAGTGGCAACCAAACTCACTTGAGTTCAGGTATGCCTTCCCAAATGGCATACAAATGGGGTAGGAAGGAACACCCAGTAGGTATATGAGAGTGAACAGTACACGTGAATTTTTCTTTAGTCACTGTGCAAAAGAAGACAGAGTTTATGTGCTAAATGCTACGGCTGAAGTTTGTAAAAAGTGCTCTAGGAACAGAGTGGGCTGTAACTAAGTTTTCAGCTTATCTGTGTCTGTGCCCTAGGTGGTGGTCAATGATGGTTAAAAAAATGAGTAGGCAGAAGAGAATGGCAGTCACTCTAGGTTACAAAAACAGCACCTAAAGGCAGGGTATTGCTGAGTGTGATACAGGAAGCGGTGGTCCAATGTGACTAGAGATTAGGCTGAAAACGCAATCAGGACCAAGGACTTTGAATCAAGGTCATGCCAAGGAGCTGGCCTTTATCTAGTGAGCAGTAGAAGGTTTACGGGCAATGGTATGACTAAATGCATGTTAAAAGACAAAAACAAAAACGGAAGCTGTAGAGTTGCTGATGGCTTAGAGGGGAAAAGTAATTGAAGCAAATGAGTGCAAAGAAGAAAACACAGTCAAAATAAGGCAGGGGAAGGAGAGTTGAAGAAAAAGACAACTCTGAAAAACAATGAAGCCTGGTTTAAATATTTAGTAAGCAATTTATATCACATAAATAGTGTTACAAAACAGGGTATTTTTAATAGCACATTCATTAAATCAAAAAAGGAAGAAAAAAATTATGGTGACTCAAGCCCAGGTTTGTAAAACACTGTGGTAACATGACATAACGAATTTTCAAGAAAACTAAGAACTCTTGAGGAGGTATTCAACAAAGAGTCAGAATCAGAATCCTGTTGGAGATGTGAATTTTGTATATTTCAAATGGCAATCTTCATTAAGTATCGGGTAAGGATTCTGCTGAGAAGGCAGCCACATGTACTTTTTCAGAACAGTGGTGGCATAGCTCCCTTGGCTATAAGAGGGAGAGGCCTGGCTTAAACCATAAGGTCGTTGTTGGAGCTCAGAGTTTCATCAACACTAATGAAAATAAAATTAACTAAGCAAACATTTACTGACTGCCTACTATGTTTAGGACACAGAATTAAAGAATAAAAAGTCCCCAACATTCTATCAGCTTTGTGCTTCTAGTTTATCACTCATAATGATAAATCCCCAAACTACAGCTCACACCATGACACCACACAATAAAAAGATGATGCGTAAACAGAATATTGAACTGTCAGTGAATTAACAAGAGTCTGAATGAGCAGCCATCTTGGTGTTGCCATGCAGCTGACAGGTACACACAATGCATTCCCAAAACTCTCCGGGGAAGAACCAGTAAGTACCCTTTTAATTTGAAGAGAGTCATCAAATAGTGTAAGAGACTAACTGTCCTGCTAAGACCTCAGAAAGAACTTAACGGAGTATCAGCCAAGGTAAGAGGGTAGGGAGTAAAAAAGAACAGGGGTCACTAGGGCCAAGTAACTGTCTACCAAAAAGCAGACAGCACTTTCGGAAAAGGAGAGCCAGCATCAGGGATCAGGCTGAGGCAAATGGAGGGGAAGGTCAAACAAAGGAGACCAGAAGAAAAGATTTCCAAGGGAAGACTTCTAACTCACCCTAAAAAGATACAAACTTTACTTTGTGAAATAATTAAGAAAATGACCAAATCTCCAAACCCTCTGGAGTACAGAGAATCATCACAGAAGAAGTATTTGGAGGTTCACAAGTCATAAAAAGGGTTAGCACTTAAAAGCCAGGGTACTCACAATTTTCACTGCAGCATTATTTACAACAGCCAGGACGTGGAAGCAACCTAAATGCCCATCGACAGATGAATGGATAAAGAAGATGTGGTACATATATACAATGGAATATTACTCAGCCATAAAAAGAAACAAAATTGAGTTATCTGCAGTGAGGTGGATGGACCTAGAGTCTGTCATACAGAGTGAAGCAGGTCAGAAAGAGAAAAACAAATACTGTATGCTAACACATACATATGGAATTTAAAAAAAAAAAAAAAAAGGTTCTCATGAACCTAGGGGCAGGACAGGAATAAAGACACAGATGTAGAGAATGGACTTGAGGACACGGGGAGGGGGAAGGGTAAGCTGGGACAAAGTGAGAGAGTGGCATGGACATATATACACTACCAAACGTGAAATAGATAGCTAGTGGGAAGCAGCCGCATGGCACAGGGAGATCAGCTTGGTGCTTTGTGGCCACCTAGAGGGTTGGGATAGGGAGGGTGGGAGGGAGATGCAAGAGGGAGGGGATACGGGGATATACGTATGCATATAGCTGATTCACTTTGTTATACAGCAGAAACTAACACACGACTGTAAAGCAATTATACTCCAATAAAGATGTTAAAAGATAAATTAATTAAAAAAAAAAAAAAAGCCAGGGTACTGACAGGGCATAACTAGGAATGATCTTACTGAGTATCCACAAATAAAATTACTTCTCCTTGAGTAAGCATCTCCTTCTTACAGCTGCCAAGCCAACACTGGTAATAGGTTCCAGCACATTCTATGTCTAGACATTAATAGAAGAGTGGGTAACATGATAGACCATGCAGACATATAAAAAAGAAAGGCAATTTATTAATACTAACCCACAAACACAAAAGCTGGGTTAAAACATTATTGAAAGAAAAATACAGAATATTCTGTTGGCAATTAAAGTGAATTCCTGTAAAGCAGCAGTTCTCAAAGTGTGGTCCAGGGACTCCAAGGGTACCCATGATCCATTCAGGAAGAACGTGAGGTCAATACTATTTTCATAACACTAAACTGTTATCTGCTTTCTTGTCTCTTTCTCTCATAACTCTACAGTGGAGTTGTCTGGGGCTACAGGATGTATGGCACTGTGTTGATGGCTACTGGAGTGCATCCTTGTGTACTTCTGTGTTTTAAATTTTTTCTCAGTTTAAATTTTTAATATGGTAAATATCGGCTGATATGACCCTCATAAACAAAAACTCTCTGGGGTTCTCAATATTTTAAGAGTATGAAAGGGTCCTGAGACAAGAAGTTTGAGAACTGCTGCTGGGCCACAACAGTAAAGAAGTGCTTCTTGAGAAGTACAATCTTGGTTTTACTCTTCAAATGAAATCTCTACTTCCTGATTCTCAAGAACTTACATTATAACTATGACAGATAAACATTGTTCTCTGTGCAGAAATGCTTCCAAAACTCTGGTGGGAAAAGAAAAGCATGACCTTTTAAAAAGCCTACAGGGGATATGAAATATCTCCCATCTTTCCATAGTCAGTGCTATTCTGAATTTACACGAAGTAATGACTCCACAGATATTTATAAAGAAGCTGCTGTGTGTTGAGAGCTAAGGAGAGAAGGATAATTAAGCGATAAACTAGCCTTTTGTGGACCCAATCTTGTCAGGAAAAAATATAATCAGTGACATAATGAGATAGTACTATAAGAGAAGGTATGAACAAAGTGGAAAAAAGCACGGAAGGGCAAATTCTTGGGAAGAAGATGGGGTGAGAAGGCAGGCAACACTTTTTTTAGTGAAGGCACTCCACAGAGGTGGCATGTGAACTGGCTCTAACAAAGGTGAGGCTTTGCCAATTTGAAAAGAAGCGAAAAGCATCCTTTAGGCAGTGGGAGGAGCATCAGTCCCAGCAGGGAAGCACAGCAGTACATAGTATGTTCTAGAAACTTTAGGTAATCCACTTTCAGAACACAAATTACAAGTAATTAGAAACTTTTATACAATTTGACAAAGTAATTTGACGTCTTTTGAATTTAATGATGAAAGAATTGGATGTATAATTTGTATGTTTGTTTCTTAATTTCCCACCTGCCATAGATAGAAGCTTCTTAAAAACACAATAAAAGTGATTTACTAAAATAATGAAGCAAAAACAACAAAACAAAAACTCGCCCATCACCACAAATATTTCGAGAAGCTTAGTGGACAGGCTGCAAGATGGCAGGAATGAGGGAGTAGCAACAGCGGGAGATAAAAGCTTCAAGCTAGAAGCTTGCATAGATTGTACTATCAACAATCTCTCTATTAAGTAAATGCAAAAAAGAAAATAAATAGGGTTTGAAAATTACTAGTAGGTCTCTAATCTAGAATGGGGAGAGTCTAATTAACTGAATAAAGTGCATAATAAGCTCTACTGTTAGAATCACACCAATTTCAGATGTGCAAACCACAGGCCACGTGGTTGAAGGGCAAATGTACCAGAGAATCAAGGAAAATTATCAGGTTCAACACGGTTAATTTAAGTAAAAAAAGACTACGGTCTGTGTAAGAAGAGAAAGTGAATTGACACTTTAATCAACACATTTTAAAATTATTTTAATTACTTCATTTGAAACATTTCATGGGAGAGGGAAAAAAACCTTGGTTGACCCAGAGGCTTGGTATAGTGGGAATCTTCCTCCCAAAATAATGTTAGTTATGTCAATTAAGGTATTAAGTAAAAGACTTATGGAAAATCAATTCTTCAAAGACATCAAATTCAGAAAAATGTTAATTATATAAATGTTTCCCATTGTAATGGTAAATTAGGATTGGTTAAAGAAGGTCTGTTATTTTTCTATGGTCATTATGCTACTGGGATCATTGAATTATTTTGATCAAAGGAGTAACACAGCAAATTGGAGTCTGGGGAAGATCTAGCACCTGTGAGAGACTGGAACAAGGACATCAGTATGGAGGCTTAGCAGCATAAGAGCTCCAGATGAGAAAAGAACTCTGAACCAAGATGCTGGTCATGGGAAAGGAAACTAAAGAGTAGGTGGAAGCTATGTCGGAAACTGACGATGCTTCATTTGAGCCGAACACCCAAATTTTCTTGCCCAGGTTGTCCACGAATCCAGGGAAACATCAGTGAGGCAGCCAAGTTAGTTTACGGCAATTAACCCCAACCCCAGTGACTCACCCAGATTCTGGATTGATCTTGCTTTCACCAGTACCATGTCCTCACTGAAAACTTTGTATAGAAGTTTAAACACCTTTTTTAAAGTATTATTTGTTAAATTAAAAACCTTACTTTGAGGAGTGTTATATAAAGTTTGGGGAAGACTTTCCATGTTGACAATTAGCCTCACTTCCAACCTGGTAACCCAATCTGTTAGAACTCACCAGCCCACATTTTCATCTCTTCATATAGATACTATATAGGACATAAAAGTTTTAACACTTAAGACATCTGTTGAAATAGTCACCAACAACTTAACTGAACTAGGGAAAATTGTACAAAAAAGCACTCTTCTCAGTGAGAAATCATGAGCTATAACAAAAAAAAACTCCACTTAGAAAATGAGTATATTCAAGTGTTTTAAACTAAACTGATTTATGGTCAATTACCTAATTCTACCCAAGATATTAACTTTTGTATTATCAATATTTATCAAAATTAGCTAATAAATGTTACACACTGAGGTGAACAGAGCACAGAAAGCACATGGAGTCCTCTAAAGTACAATAAAGGGTGATTTTATTTTGTGACTTAGATGGGATGACTATTTCTTTCAAAAGGGGGAGCTATCAAGTGAGTAAGGGAAATCTTGGTCTAAGATACTAAGAAGCTTTATAAACACTTCATGTTTCATATGGTTTGCAATATTCAATTAATCAAATCCTTTTCCTTTTTTCCTAGTCGTCCTCTTTGGCCTCTCATTCAGGACATCACTATACCTAAAAATATAACACGACTGGTTTCAAAGTGGAGCTGTATGACAAACAAACTATAGTAAAACCTTATGAAATATATTAGTCCAGAGTCTTCAACTGTACTCTGTCGTATACTAGCTATACGACAGAGTACTGGACTCTGTATCTGAAGGACAGTATCTCTGTCCAAGAGGACTAGATACTCCTTTTGGAGACTGACAGTCCACCGGCTAATGTAAGTCCTAGTGAACAGGTATTATATACTATGATGCAACATCTCCCAAACTTATTTGACCACGGGTTCCTCATTCAAAAGGAAAAACTGTTTAACAAAACACACTTTCGAAAAAACACACTTAACATATTCACTTTTAAAATCTTGAAATGTAAATGATATAGATAATCACTAATAATTCAACTTAAATTGCTTTCAAAGTTGTTCACTGTGTATTCTAAATAATCCATCTTCTATCTGGAAGAAAGATCTAGATTTGATCATTTTTCAAGGACAATTTACTGGCTATGTATATTTACCATCTGGCTATCTACAATTTATTTACCAACTGTCAAAAGTGGTTGGTGCTTACCACAAAATAAGAGTGATGAAAATTAAGAACAACAAACAAGATAGAATTATATCTTGCTGGTCACAAGAATATGCATAATTATAATTTTCATTTTAACAGAATTAAAAGTTGACAATTGGGGTTCAATATCAACCATGTTTCAACAAATATAAAAGCAGATTTCAGACTATCAGACATTACCACATAATTATACCTGAATGAAAGAACTTTTAATATTTATAAATAAAAGTTAGGTAGATTTAAAATCTCAATTTAGAGGAAAAAATAATATGTGATAATGTGAAAAATGACTAGCAACCAATAATTACTAATAGTTTTGTAGCATTTTTATTTAATAAGTATAATGTTTTAAAGATTTCCTTGCTGAAATTACAAGAAAGAATAAGCAGAGTAATTAAAATGAGAAGTAGAATGATTAAAATAAAAACTTCATCACTAGATTTTCTGAACATAATCACAACAGTGAAGGAAAAGGAGTTAGTGTTATCACTGTGCCAACCATATTATCCTTACAGGTAGAGGACAAATCTGGTTCAAAGTTGCCATCCCCCTTTTGAAACATCATGGCCCATTAA